TAACGTAACAATTCACAAAACACTAAGAGCACGTAGTGAAGCACGAGGAAGTATCAAGCGCTACTTGGGATGCAAGACACCGAAGTGAATCTCTCGGTGTAGACCCAAAAACCTGAGATCCGAGGTGATGCTTGCTTGATGCGGTAATATCGTCCACTTCAACTTCAGAAAATGCAGTTTAGCTTCGAAAACGCCTTGTCATCGTTGTGATCTTCTGATTCAGTTAAGTGGCCAGAGCTCCAGCGTGGAACGTGAGCCGCAACGCAAGTCCATGATCAATTTGGCATTGTTATCGCTGGTCGTGGGCGCGTCGTCCGTTATGATATCTTCGGTTTTGTATTGCCTTTTTGTATGGTCGATCTAGTGCAAAAACGACACAAGTCCCCTCCAACCACTCGCTGTTACCAGATCGAATCAGAAAAACGACAAAACGACCAGCTAACTTACGACCGCACGGCGCCTCCCGGCCATTTAGCCGAACGAGTCCTGCACAACACTGATACCATGGTCGACGAGGAGGTGGCGCGCTCTCTGGAGCAGGAAGCCATCGCGCTCGTGAATCTCAGTAATCCCAAGCAATTCGTCTCCAACCAGCCGCTCGAGAGCGCCGGCCAGGAACCGGACGCGTCGGCGGAACTGCTGGACGGCAACATCTCCATGAAGTCGCTGCTGGTGACGCTCAAAAAGCGCAAACTGCAGCACCCTGAGGCTCAAGTCAAGGAGGAACAGCCCTCAGACACCGGGTCTGATAACGCGGAGACTGCATCAGCCGACGACGCGAAGCTCCCGAGCTTTCGCGCTGTTTTCCAGCCTTCACAGCAGCAGATCGAGCAGACGGAGGAGCCTGTGCCTCCGGAGCTCAAGTGCAAGTACCGCACGGGCAAATGCCACAATGCGCGCGCACTGAAGTCGTGCGGAGACTATCACAACCTGTGCAACTACCACCGACTGCGAGCCAATGCCAACCAGCGCAAACTGGACCGCAAGAAGAAGGAGCAACGGCTGCAACAGCAGCTCACGGCCAACGCGTCGTCCTCACCGCGATCGCAGCCTCTCCTTGCGTCACATGCGGCCGCAGCCGCGCTCGCGTCCCTCGTGGCCGCGCAACCACAGCACCACTTTGATGTGTTGCAACAGAGACCGTTCTTCGCGTCGGGCGCCACCGTGCAGGAGGTGGACAAGAACAATAGGAATAGAAGCACTACCAACTGTGTGCGTCCCAAGCAGGAAGACGCCTGCAGTTATTAGACTGGCGGTAGTCGCACTTGGGCTATCTGCCTCCCATAGATCCATAAACAGAGAAACAAGAGCAACATACGACAGCCGCGTTGGCTTGTAAGACACTTTGCAGGTTACAGTACATAGTTATTGACGGCACAGGCTGTCTTGTTGTCTAGCTAGCGCTTCATATTGACGTCCAGCGGAAGGAGAATAGTGCTGCGTTATGTATACACGACCAGGAAGACCATGACGATGAGCACTGCCACTAGGAAGAGGATGAGGCCTAGTTGGCATTTATCTGAAGCAAAAAAAAAATTAGTAGTAGATTTTGATGAAAAGTATAAAAAAAAATGCCCATACCTTTTGTTTTCAACATTTTGCTCAAGCGTCCCATGACAAAATTCATTCGCTCCTGAGCTTCTTCCACATCATCAGTCAGATCGTCCAGCATTCTATAACAAAAAAATAAAATATCGTTAATTAACCCACTCGATAAAATATCCAAGCTGTGAAGAGCACTCACTTGTTCTGGCTCTTGACTTCGCTCGAGATCTCCACTGTGACTCCATGTAAGCGCGTGATATCACTGTGTAATCCCGCCAAACTCTGATCCTGCTCTTGCATAATTTGCTGTAACCAGTCACAATACCTCGTGAATTAAATGCTATAAGCCGAGAGTTAAACAGCACAATTCGCACCTGTTGCCTCTGTGTTTCTTCTTCCAAAAAGTGCTCGTTTCTTTCTTGCCCCGTAAGATTTGACCTAAAGGAAGTCGACGATTTCGCTGACTGCATCAACTGCAAAATGAAATTTATCCGTCAGCCCGCAACACACTTTAACCTTGCAGCCTGAATTTCTCACTTTGCGTTCTTCCTTGCGAATCCGAGTCTTGACAGCGTCGGTCGAAATCTCGGCTGAAACAGCTTGTAGTTCCTGTTTAAAAGGCATCAGTACGCCTTCCTCTCTTGCAATTTCCAGGACGTTCCCCACCTTTCGAGTGGTCGCCACAAAAGCTTTACGACTTGCGATCTCCGCTGCGTCAATATGCTCAAACTTGGTTCGATTGGCCTCTACCATGACGATGGTCTCTTCTAAAAATTTGACCGACTTCTCCGCTGTCGACACGGCGCTCTCGATCTCTGCAATAGCACGCTGTCAGCTGTGTTGCAAATAGAGATAAAGTGGCTCAACCACTGTAGAACGCACGGTGCGTAAGTGCCGGCAGCTCCTTGGCGGCCGGTGAGTCCTTGGCGTCCAGAATGGCGCGCCATTTGGCGTGTTTCTGGTTCACGGCCGACACTTTACTCTCCAGTTCACTAGACGCAGCAACGTTAGAAACACCAGGGAGTTTAGCGCAAAACTACAGGCGCGCGTACTCCTTGAAGACGTAGAACGGGTCGCCGCTCGCCGCCGCCATGGACGGCTCCTTCTTCATCATGACTGGAGCTATTGGTATCTGCCGACGCCGCTTGACAGGCGTTTTCGCACTTAACCGCGAAGAAAATCAGAAAAATGAAAATCGAGTGGAAAATCCATGGGTTCATGGTTTTCTTACAAGCAACATTTTTT